GAACACTCTTCCGGTTCCATGATTTCAGGCTAACTTTGATCTTCAAAAATGCTTTCACTTCTTCATAATGTTTTCTGTTTTCTAAGTTCTATGCTAACAGTTTCTTTATATTTCTCGCTTGGTGGAACACTCTTCCGGTTCCATGATTTCAGGCTAACTTTGATCTTCAAAAATGCTTTCACTTCTTCATAATGTTTTCTGTTTTCTAAGTTCTATGCTAACAGTTTCTTTATATTTCTCGCTTGTGGAACACTCTTCCGGTTCCATGATTTCAGGCTAACTTTGATCTTCAAAAATGCTTTCACTTCTTCATAATGTTTTCTGTTTTTTAAAGTTCTATGCTAACAGTTTCTTTATATTTCTCGCTTGTGGAACACTCTTCCGGTTCCATGATTTCAGGCTAACTTTGATCTTCAAAAATGCTTTCACTTCTTCATAATGTTTTCTGTTTTCTAAGTTCTATGCTAACAGTTTCTTTATATTTCTCGCTTGTGAACACTCTTCCGGTTCCATGATTTCAGGCTAACTTTGATCTTCAAAAAAATGCTTTCACTTCTTCATAATGTTTTCTGTTTTCTAAGTTCTATGCTAGCAGTTTCTTTATATTTCTCGCTTGTGGAACACTCTTCCGGTTCCATGATTTCAGGCTAACTTTGATCTTCAAAAATGCTTTCACTTCTTCATAATGTTTTCTGTTTTCTAAGTTCTATGCTAACAGTTTCTTTATATTTCTCGCTTGTGGAACACTCTTCCGGTTCCATGATTTCAGGCTAACTTTGATCTTCAAAATGCATTCATTTCTTCATAATGTTTTCTGTTTTCTAAGTTCTATGCTAACAGTTTCTTTATATTTCTCGCTTGTGGAACACTCTTCCGGTTCCATGATTTCAGGCTAACTTTGATCTTCAAAATGCTTTCACTTCTTCATAATGTTTTCTGTTTTCTAAGTTCTATGCTAACAGTTTCTTTATATTTCTCGCTTGTGGAACACTCTTCCGGTTCCATGATTTCAGGCTAACTTTGATCTTCAAAAATGCTTTCACTTCTTCATAATGTTTTCTGTTTTCTAAGTTCTATGCTAACAGTTTCTTTATATTTCTCGCTTGTGGAACACACTTCCGGTTCCATGATTTCAGGCTAACTTTGATCTTCAAAAATGCTTTCACTTCTTCATAATGTTTTCTGTTTTCTAAGTTCTATGCTAGCAGTTTCTTTATATTTCTCGCTTGGGAACACTCTTCCGGTTCCATGATTTCAGGCTAACTTTGATCTTCAAAAATGCTTTCACTTCTTCATAATGTTTTCTGTTTTCTAAGTTCTATGCTAACAGTTTCTTTATATTTCTCGCTTGTGGAACACTCTTCCGGTTCCATGATTTCAGGCTAACTTTGATCTTCAAAATGCTTTCACTTCTTCATAATGTTTTCTGTTTTCTAAGTTCTATGCTAACAGTTTCTTTATATTTCTCTCGCTTGTGGAACACTCTTCCGGTTCCATGATTTCCGGCTAACTTTTGATCTTCAAAATGCTTTCACTTCTTCATAATGTTTTCTGTTTTCTAAGTTCTATGCTAAAAGTTTTTTATATTTCTCGCTTGTGGAACACTCTTCCGGTTCCATGATTTCAGGCTAACTTTGATCTTCAAAAATGCTTTCACTTCTTCATAATGTTTTCTGTTTTCAAGTTCTATGCTAACAGTTTCTTTATATTTCTCTTGTGGAACACTCTTCCGGTTCCATGATTTCAGGCTAACTTTTGATCTTCAAAAATGCTTTCACTTCTTCATAATGTTTTCTGTTTTTCTAAGTTCTATGCTAACAGTTTCTTTATATTTCTCGCTTGTGGAACACTCTTCCGGTTCCATGATTTCAGGCTAACTTTTTCTTCTTCAAAAACATACTTTCACTTCTTCATAATGTTTTCTGTTTTCTAAGTTCTATGCTAACAGTTTCTTTATATTTCTCGCTTGTGGAACACTCTTCCGGTTCCATGATTTCAGGCTAACTTTGATCTTCAAAAATGCTTTCACTTCTTCATAATGTTTTCTGTTTTCTAAATTCTATGCTAACAGTTTCTTTATATTTCTCGCTTGTGGAACACTCTTCCGGTTCCATGATTTCAGGCTAACTTTGATCTTCAAAATGCTTTCACTTCTTCATAATGTTTTCTGTTTTCTAAGTTCTATGCTAGCAGTTTCTTTATATTTCTCGCTTGTGGAACACTCTTCCGGTTCCATGATTTCAGGCTAACTTTGATCTTCAAAAATGCTTTCACTTCTTCATAATGTTTTCTGTTTTCTAAGTTCTATGCTAACAGTTTCTTTATATTTCTCGCTTGTGGAACACTCTTCCGGTTCCATGATTTCAGGCTAACTTTGATCTTCAAAAATGCTTTCACTTCTTCATAATGTTTTCTGTTTTCTAAGTTCTATGCTAACAGTTTCTTTATATTTCTCGCTTGTGGAACACTCTTCCGGTTCCATGATTTCAGGCTAACTTTGATCTTCAAAAAAAATGCTTTCACTTCTTCATAATGTTTTCTGTTTTCTAAGTTCTATGCTAACAGTTTCTTTATATTTCTCCTTGTGGAACACTCTTCCGGTTCCATGATTTCAGGCTAACTTTGATCTTCAAAAATGCTTTCACTTCTTCATAATGTTTTCTGTTTTCTAAGTTCTATGCTAACAGTTTCTTTATATTTCTCGCTTGTGGAACACTCTTCCGGTTCCATGATTTCAGGCTAACTTTGATCTTCAAAATGCTTTCACTTCTTCATAATGTTTTCTGTTTTCTAAGTTCTATGCTAACAGTTTCTTTATATTTCTCGCTTGTGGAACACTCTTCCGGTTCCATGATTTCAGGCTAACTTTGATCTTCAAAAATGCTTTCACTTCTTCATAATGTTTTCTGTTTTCTAAGTTCTATGCTAACAGTTTCTTTATATTTCTCGCTTGTGGAACACTCTTCCGGTTCCATGATTTCAGGCTAACTTTGATCTTCAAAAATGCTTTCACTTCTTCATAATGTTTTCTGTTTTCTAAGTTCTATGCTAACAGTTTCTTTATATTTCTCGCTTGTGGAACACTCTTCCGGTTCCATGATTTCAGGCTAACTTTGATCTTCAAAATGCTTTCACTTCTTCATAATGTTTTCTGTTTTCTAAGTTCTATGCTAACAGTTTCTTTATATTTCTCGCTTGTGGAACACTCTTCCGGTTCCATGATTTCAGGCTAACTTTGATCTTCAAAAATGCTTTCACTTCTTCATAATGTTTTCTGTTTTCTAAGTTCTATGCTAACAGTTTCTTTATATTTCTCGCTTGTGGAACACTCTTCCCGGTTCCATGATTTCAGGCTAACTTTGATCTTCAAAAATGCTTTCACTTCTTCATAATGTTTTCTGTTTTCTAAGTTCTATGCTAACAGTTTCTTTATATTTCTCGCTTGTGGAACACTCTTCCGGTTCCATGATTTCAGGCTAACTTTGATCTTCAAAAATGCTTTCACTTCTTCATAATGTTTTCTGTTTTCTAAATTCTATGCTAACAGTTTCTTTATATTTCTCGCTTGTGGAACACTCTTCCGGTTCCATGATTTCAGGCTAACTTTGATCTTCAAAAATGCTTTCACTTCTTCATAATGTTTTCTGTTTTCTAAGTTCTATGCTAACAGTTTCTTTATATTTCTCGCTTGTGGAACACTCTTCCGGTTCCATGATTTCCGGCTAACTTTGATCTTCAAAAATGCTTTCACTTCTTCATAATTTTTTCTGTTTTCTAAGTTCTATGCTAACAGTTTCTTTTATCGCACTTTTCGCCTGTGGAACTCTCGTTCAGCTTCTTACTTTCCCGTCAAGTTTGATCTTCAAAAATTTCAATCTAATGTTAATCCTTATCTTCTGTCTTCTTAAATGATCTTCTTTTATTGTTCTCTATCTCCTTAATAATGTTTTTTATATTAGGATATTACATTGAAAACATGTCAAAATCGCTACACAATTTCAATCATGTTTCAATACGTATCAAATGCATCTCATCAGGCGATTGTAAATTAATGGCGAGGAAACAATTTCTTTAGATTTAAAAGCAAAATACCATCTCTTTTATGAAAAAAAAAGATAATAAAAAACAAAGCATCTCAAATATGAGTATCCATTAAAATTACGTTTAAACATATATCTATGTATATATATATGCCACACATTATGAAATGGACAAAGTACGACATTTTTTTATGTTTATACGTTCTTTTTATACATACAAATCTTTAAGTAAAATGCTCTGTTTATAATAAACAGTATTAATGACATTTACCGGCCTGAATGTCTGAGAAATTTTCATGGAAAATATGCGTCCACCGACATGAATCGAACCTGTATCCTATAAGGAACAGTCATATAGTAGTTTATCTTAATATCGTTAATACTGTTTATTATAAACCGTGTATCGTATCCTCATCCTCCTCCTGTAGAGCCGCATTTCTGTTGCCTTGAGTAGATGAGTAAATTCATGCCTTTCGATATAGTTTCGAATGTCATATCTTTACAGTGTCTATGTAAAAAAAAAAAAAAAAAAAATAGAAAAACGAAATGGAAGAATACATCTAACGACACCGATGACAATAGCCCTACTGGTGTTTATATTGTTCTTTGGGTTTTACAATTTTAAAAAGTAAATAAGTTTGCCGTGCAATACGCTTTCTTGTGGCTTTATTTATTTATTACCTGGCCATTCCACTTGAGGGAAAAATACTTATAAAATGTTTGAAAATGATTCATTAGAAAAAATAATGAAAATTCACTTTAAACTCGTCAGAATAAGCAGATCTCCAAACATTTTTTAAAAATTCCTACAACGTTGCATAGATAAATGGTTTATTAGAATAAAAATATAAATCTGTTCAGAGAATTAGCTTTTCTCAATTTAGTTATTTATTTGTTGACGTGTTTTTTTAAGCAAAGATTTTTGAGATATCAGTGTTAAATTGACATTTCTAGCCTCAGTTATTTGAAAAGGAAAAAAGGTCTTAAATTCAGAGGGAGTGAGAAAGAGGGGTAGATAGATAGATAGAGAGAGAGAGAGAAAGGGAGGGATAGAAATAGAGCGTGTATGAGAGAGAGGGCGAGAGGAGTAAAGAGAGAGATAGAGAATGAGAGTGAGGAGTGTGAGAGAGGCAAAGAGAGAAGGAGAGTGAAAGTGAGCGAGAGTGAGATGGAAGGAATTAAGTGAGTGAGAAAGAGGGAAGGAGAGAGCGGGAGAGGGTTAGAGAGGGGGAGTGGGAGAGAGATAGGAAAAAGTGTGTGAGAATGTCCGAGCGAGTGACTGAGATAGAGAATAAGAGATAGAGAGAGAGGGAGAGAAATAGCGTGAGAGAGCAAAATTGAGAGAGAGAGAGAGAGAGGGAAAGAGAGAGAGAGAGAGAGAGAGAGAGAGAGAGAGAGAGAAACGAGAGAGTGAGAGGGTGCACCTGAATAAAGAATCGATAAAGCCTCTTGGAGATGAAGGCCAAATAAAATCTCATAAGATTCCATATTTTGTATTTTAGATTTTGGAAATCGGAGAGGAATGCGGATTACGTTCATCCGCTTGAATCCGAGATATATTCTCAATGGAGAAGAGATTTGAGACAACAAAAATGGGATTCTACAGAAGGATGCTGAGAATACTGTGATCTGAACATGGGAGCAACGACGTAATTTTTGGGAAAATAGAAACGGAAATGACGTCGGCGTGTATGAAGAAATCGGAGAAACGAGTTCAATTTTCCTTCTGGCAAACACAATTATTTGTCTTAGTCATCATCTAGTGGCCTTGTTAGGGCCAGTAATAAAGACACAAAGAGAGGAATTGAGTTAAATATATTAACAGAAAAAGTAATGCAAAACGAGAGTGTTAGAGCAAGAAAGTTCGGTCCGACTGTCAGAGCTGACTGCTGGAATCTTCCCTCTCCAAAAGACAGTACCTGCTCCTATTTATAGCTGGAAGAGTCGATGCGTGCGTGGGTAAATTACCACAACACATCACAAACCCTGAAGATGATACTGGAATATGTCGAAAGGACCCGGCAAAACAAAAGAAATAAATACAACCATGTTAGCTTCCGTCCTTTCGTTGATCATAAAACAACCAAGCTTATACGTGATTACGAGAGGTTATTATTGAAAATAAACAAACACAGCATGTCTAAATTGTTTAATTAGACATGCTTATATATATATATATATATATATATATATATATATATATATATATATATTTCCGAAAATTATTTTGTTTGAGCTCTCGGCGAAAAGTGAATTTGTAAACAGTGACTATTACTGCTGCTGATGCAAGACTCTTCGTTAAAACGAATCGAATTCTCCAGTCACTGGCGTGTTTATCTAAAAATAAAACTAAATGCATCTAAATTCACCTTTATCCTCTAGCCCGGCTTGAGGCAATCGGATGTCTAACCACACTGGTGCGCTGTGAAACAGCGAAACCGTCTGTCTGTGGTTGACAACACACACACACACACACACACACACACACACACACACACACACACACACACACACACACACATATATATGTGTATATATATATATATATATATATATATATATATATATGTATTGTGAAATAGATATTTATTTCAGATGTTCTGGCACATACGTTAGTGAAGTTATTCTCGTGGATAATTAGGGGTTTCGGATGTTAAAACATCATTGCCCTTCTCCACGATGACACAAAAACCTCTAATCATCTACGAGGAAATTCATCATTTGCCTCGTAGGTAGGTAGGTAGGTAGGTAGGTAGGTATACACAATATCTGTTCTACATATTTTCATCGTATTCACTTCTTATCTCATCTTCTGACGTCCATACAAAAAACTCATTTAGTAAATCTCTAACTTGAGTGGCTCTTAGGCCTTGTATTGGGTGAACAATATTAAAGGTAAACAGCAAAATATCTCAATGTCTCAAACATAGAAGATACGGAGATTCTTCTTTTATCTTCTATGTTCCATGTCCCTTCAGTATATGGGTGATCATGGCTCTCCACAACATCCTGTCTTTTGTAGCCGTTAGTAAAGTTTGTCCTTTTGCTAGAACTCCTAATACCTGTTCTGGCAATCCCTTGCACGAGCTCATTAGATGGATTATGCGCTGTCTTCCTTTGTACTTCTTGTTTTCACTATGCACTGTGAGTGTTAAAATTTCCAAGCCCTCTTTTCTCATAATGTATCCGAGAAATTTTAACTATTCTTTTCTAATGTTACGTGTAAATGTTCTTTTTGTTTCCTTTTTCTCTAAAACTTTGTCGTTGATCACTTGTTCAGTCTATGGCATTCTCAGTATCCTTCTGTAGAACGACATTTCTGTTGCCTGAAGTTTCTTCTCCATCTGTAATGATATTGTCCAGCAATCCCTGCCATATATATTGCATAACAGTTCAGTCAAGTTGTTTTTTAATCTAATATAAATTATATTCTGTCCATTTAGCGATACCCGCAAGTGTTTTTCGTATAATTAAATGTTTTTTTTTTGTTCATTCAGTGACTGTTTTCCGTCTGCTCTGAGTAGGATTGTTCTATTTCAATTGAAATGTCTCCTACGAGGTCATTAAATTGAAGAGGAGACAAACAGGTGAGAAGAAAGCAACAATATTTTTGAAGCAGGTGTGAATGTGAGGTCAGTTCGGTGTAATAGAGGGCAAAAGGGCGGTATAAACGAAGGGAATGCTTGAATAAGAGAATACAAAGAATACGAGAATAGGGTAAGATGTCAGAATAATGAGAAAAGCTGAATGGGAAGGAGATGGTCGTCGGGAGTGGAATTATATTTAAAGTCGAACAGAAAGAGAAATAAAAAGTAGTGAGGGAAAGGTGAGACAGAACGGAAAAAAAGGGGAAAAAATAAAGCGAAATGGGGAGAGAGATAGAAGGAGAAGAAAATATAAAATAAAAGGAAACAGAAGGAAAGAAAAATTAAAGAAAAAGAAGCGGTTAAGAAAAGGATAGAAAGGAAAGAGAAAAAGATGCAATCAATAAAAGAAAGAAAGAAAGAAAGAGAGAGAGAAAGAAAGAAAGAAAAATGAAAGATTAGGGAAAAGAAAGAAGGAAAGAAAGAAAGAAATAACGAAAGAAAGAAAGAAAGAAATAAAGAAAGAAAAATAAAAGATTAGGGAAAAGAAAGAAAGAAAGAAAGAAAGAAAGAAAGAAAGAAATGAAGAAAGAAAAATGAAAGATTTGGGAAAAGAAAGAAAGAAAGAAAGAAAGAAAGAATGAAATGAAGAAAGAAAAATGAAAGATTAGGGAAAAGAAAGAAAGAAAGAAAGAAAGAAAGAAAGAAAGAAAGAAAGAAAGAAAGAAATGAAGAACGAAAAATGAAAGATTAGGAAAAAGAAAGAAAGAAAGAAAGAAAGAAAGAAAGAAATGAAGAAAGAAAAATGAAAGATTAGGGAAAACAAAGAAAGAAAGAAAGAAAGAAATGAAGAAAGAAAAATGAAAGATTAAGGAAAAGAAAAAACGAAAGAAAGAAGGAAAATTAGACAAAAGATACAGAAAAAAGCCGGCAATAAAACAAAGGAATGGGGTCGATGTGACAAAAAAAAAATGCGGTAAAACTTTACGTTCATTTTTTTTACTTATAAAGATAAACAAATCAAATTGTAGGATACGTTAGTGCAAAAGTTCCCAGAATCCTTTCTTTAAATTATTTTTTGTCTTTTTTAATGATTTTTTTTCTATATCTTTTATTTCTATCATTCTTTTTCTTTCCTTTTTTTTCTTTCAAGGACTTCATCTCTCTCCATTTTTTTTAATTAACATTTAGAATTCTTCCTTATTTTCCTTTTGTTTGTTTTCTGCATACGGATGAAAAATGGGTTCAGCAAATGTATAAAAATAGAAAGAGGTGTAAATAAGTATATCCTGAACATTCGCCGTAAACATTTTTTGCCGGAAGAAAACTCGATTCGGGAATTTTCGCCGTAAAAAACTTCGCCGTCTAGGATTTTTGCCGCAAGACAAATTCGTGATATCCTCCAAAACAAATCATCATATTTTTTTTCGATACTCTTATCTAGAACGTCACTTTTGGAGTAATGTTCAATTTAATATGCGACGTATCTTGTTATCAATTATATATGGCTGTCTTTTTTTATGTCAAACATCAGAAAAGATATTAAAAAATAAACATTTAATTAAAATATAAAAGACTAAAAATATATCAAATTAACAAATAATTTAAAATGTGTACAAACCCTACGTAATGTTTCGTAAATAAGGCGTTTTTCAATTGAAGTCTTGCATTGATATCAATATATATTTTCTTCATTTGTACTGCATCACCTTGATCTAAATCACACTTTTTCTTTTTTTCCTAATGTCTCTTCCTTTTCCAAATACGCAATTAGTTTCCACAAATTTGGGTGCATGTTAGTATAATTTCGCTTATTAAAATGTTTAAATCGAATTAACAATAGAGGTGAGCTAGATATATTTGATAGCAAGCTACTTCGCATATTAAAAAAATGAGGCGAAATTGTCTTATGGCAAAAATTCTATACGGCAAAGTTTCCTAAGGCGAACATTCTCGAGGCGAGTTATAACAGCGAACGAAATCTGGAGGTGCATTGGAAAAGCGAAAGATGCTTTCCAAAATTTAAGCAAAGTATTAAGAAACAGGAAAAAATACAAAACTGTTATGTAATCTCAGCCCTCCTACATGGCAGTGAATGCAGGACAATATCATCACAGTTGATGAACAGACTTGAAACAAGTGAAATGTAGTCCTGCAGAAGGATGCTGAGAATAACATGGAGCGAACATGTTAGTAATAAGGAAGTTTTAGAGAAAACGGAAACAAAACGGAAACTTATACTTAACATCAGAGAAGAGACAATTGAAATTTCTAGAGCACATAATGTGGAAAGAGGGTTTGGAAAATTGGATACTCACAGGACATAATGAAGGCAAAAGGAAAACAATGTATAACCTACCTCGAGAGCTTGAGTTAAGGGTTGGCGGCGCAAGGTTTAGGAGAGATAACAAAAAAAAAAAAAGAAATATTCCAGAGCTACGAACGGACGCGTCGCATAATCTGAAATAGTCTTGTCAGATCGAAAATTTCATATGGATTACATACATCTAAGGAAACGCTTAATATTACCCTTGCCATTAATATTAACATAAACCTTACCATTAATATTACGATTACATTTACCATTAATATTACTATAACCCTTGCTATTAAAATTAACATAACACTTGCCATTAATATTACCATTATCCGTACCATTAATATTACCATTACCCTTACCATTAATATTAAAATATCACTTGCCATTGCCCTTACCATTAATATTACCATTACCCTTAACATTAATATTACTATAACCCTTACCATTAATATTACCATTACACTTACCATTAATATTAACATAACCATTACCATTAATATTACCATTACCCTTACCATTAATATTAAAATAACACTTGCCATTGCCCTTACCATTAATATTACCATTACCCTTAACATTAATAT